TGCGCATGGTCTGTAGGATAATTCTTCATCAGACTCCCAAGAAAGGGGCCCTCTTAAGACATGCTGGCCCTCTTAAGCTTATATTATTTGAGGACTTTTTTCCTAGATGTTAAAATCAGTACAGAACATTGTGTTTGTTCTACTAATTTTAGTTTTTTATTAATTATGGAGATCATATGCGCAAAAGATGCATTCACATACAGTTTTTTCTTCTTATTCTTTTGTTCTACTTTAGAGCCTGACCACACTCCCCACCTCATTTCTTCATTTTTTACTATGATATAATTGACTGACAATCACTGTACACATTTAAAACATATAATTTGATAAGCTTGACAAAATTTGATGTGTAGACACCTGAAAAACCATCACTACAATTACAATCGTGACTATGTCCATCCTCCCCAAATTTTCTAACATCCCTCATAATTCCTACCTCCCGGCCCTCCACTTACTGCCCTGCCCAGTCGCTGACTTGCTTTCCATTGTTATAGATTAGTTTGTTTTTTAGAAGGATTTTATGAAATGGAAATATTGTATAGTAAGTACTCTTTTTGGTCTAATTTCTTTCACTCAACAGTATTTCGAGATTAATCTGTGTTTTTCCATGCATTACTAGTTCATTTCTTTCTATTGCTGAGTGGTATTACATTGTGTATTGTATTATATTGTGCATTGAAATATAATACGTTTTATCCACTCACCTGTTAATGGACATTGGGTTGTGTCTAGTTTGAGGCTATTAAAAATAGCTACCTTCTATGCTGGGGAAGGGGGAGGGTGGTGGGTGGAGGGGGGAAGAGGGAGGAGGGGAGGGGTATTTGTATACACAAGGAGGGCAATGTGCACTACCCGAAGGATGGACATATTTGAAACACGGACTTCGGTGGGGGGGGAACCAAGGGCAACACACGTAACCTAAACATATGTACACCCATAATTTGCTGAAATAAAAAAAAAAAATAGCTACCTTCTTAATGTTTATACTTTTAGGTTCCAAATTTATGTCTGGTTCATTTTGATTTAATTTCTCTATGTTGTGTGAGGTATGGATCCAAGTTCACTTTTTTGAACACAGTTATCCAGTTGTTCTAGTATCATGTGTTGAAAAGCCTATTCTTCCTCAACTATTTGTCTTTGCACCTTTGTCAAATCAGGTGCCCATATACGTGAGAGTTTATTTCTGGATTCTATATTAAGTTCTGTTGGTTGATTTGCTTATCTTTATACTAATATCATACTGTCTTAATTACTTTAGCTTCATTTTGAATGTTGAATACGTGTAGGCTTAGCTTTCTGTATTAGTCTGCAAGGGCTTCCATTAAAAAATACCTCCTTCTGAACCACAGTTTTTGAAAAAAATACCATAGACTGGATGGCCTAAGCAAAAGAAACATTTCTCAAAGTTCTGGAAGCTGAAAGTCTACCATGAAGTGTCTCCAAGTTTGGTTTCTCCTAAGGCCTCTCCTCTTGTCTGCAGATGGCCCCCTCTTGCTGCCTCTTTGCATGACCTTTATCTGTGTGCACAAATGTCTGTGTCTCTTTTCCTTCTTATAAGGGCTGGTCCTATTGGATTATGGCCCCATCATTATGACCATATTTAATTTTAATTACACCTTAAAAATACCAAAACTTCTAAATCAACATTCCCTTCTTATACAAGATGACAATCAAAGCTTTTTAATATTAGCGATGCCTAAATGTTTATCTAGTGTAGACCAACAAGTTCATGTTTTTACTAGCACAGACAAAAGGAATTGATTAATCCTGGACTATTATCTTTATCTCACATTCTACAACCCACCTAATAGCAAGTACTTCAGCATATACACAACATGTGACCACTTGTCACTATTACCACTGGGTCCACCTGGGCTGGGCCACAATAGTTCTCACAGTGATGCCTTCATCAACCTCCTCACTGGGCTCCTGCTGGTTTCTCTTCTCTAAATTTATTATATTTCCTACTTATTAATGCCATTAGCCCAAGTATGAAGAATATATTCAAAATTTTAATTGAGTAAACATGTTAACCTAACAGTATGAGACAGAGAGAAAGAGATCATAACTCTATGTCCCGTGAGAAGGGGAAACATAGTTACATGGTCATGTGTAGGCCAGCTTGCCCAAGTGAACCCTGTGCACAGTTTCAATCCCACAGTTCCTGGGGTTTAGTGTGACATGATTGGCCACCTTCACCTGAAGGCCTGATCCCATGACAAGATCTAGCTATAATATTAAATAATCTTTGCACATTCTGTTATGAGATCTGACCCAAATTAAAAGTCACCATTTTTTCTAGCACTTTGTTTCCTTCATTTTCTCCATTAGGCAGTGTCTTCTCTTTCTCATCAACCTAAGTGTTCTCTGTTATATGGTAAGAGGACATTGGCCATCGATTCCTAGAATACCACATTCTGCTTCTTCCTAACATTTTAAAATTTGAGGCTGTTCTCTCTGAAACAATCTCACTCTATCAGTGGCACTCTCTCTCTCTCCTTTCCTCTCTTCATGTCCAGTGGAGCCAAAATTTTGGTTAGACATTGCATTCTCTTCCTCTTCCTCTGAAAACTGAGCAAAATTTTCATCCTTCTTTTATATACATTATTTTCAAGAGTCTATATATCTTTTTTGTCTGTTTTGTAGCTGTTTTCAGAATAAAGTGCTTTGGAATACCTGTCCATTCAATTGACAATTTTGTCAGTAATCATAGTCTATCTGTGGCCTTTTATCTCCAATAAATATATTCAATTTTGTCACTTGAGTCTCTAAGCTAAGTATGGTTTGTATGAAAAACATTAAGGTGTGTCATGCAAAGTCTATGGTGGTAGTAAACCCCTAGAATTTCAAACACAAAATTACTAAAACCAAGTTTTTATTTAATATCAAGAAATTATTTCTAATTTTTAGGTAGAATAGCAGTATGTGCATTAGATTTTCCTGATTCATAAGATATGGTTAGGGAAATTACTATAAACTAAATAATTTGGCCTGTTATATTTACTTGAAAATGCCACTAGGATGACTGATATTGGTCCTTGAAAATGATGGCAAAATAATAAAAATTTTGGAAGCTTTTTGATTGGTACTACTTGTGAGGGGTTTTATTATATAATTATCTCTACTGCTGTGCAAGATGTTTGCATTTCTATTGTAATATTTAGATAAAGTACATAAATTTTTTTTATAAAAATGTCTAAGATACAGCACATCAGCCTCATTCCATAAAGAAAAAAGGCAAACATCTTCTTGCACATTGTAGTGATGGATTTTGAGTTTCATCATCAGATCTGGGTGTGACAATTGCAGGTGAATGTGTAGAGGACAGTGCAGCACTAGAATTGGAAAGAGAGCACTCTATATAACCCTCCAAGTATAGACAATGGTGCTACCAGGATCCTTGTGCAAGACTGTGTCTGTGGGTGTGACTGAGAAATGTCATTCTTACCTCGATGACACCATTACATTTTCCTAACAATCTGTTAGAGCAATGTGTCTTCTACAAGTTAAAGTAGAAATGTCCCAAGCCTGAGAGTATGTGCTCTGTGGCCACAAGACCATCAGGTTTTCCCCTGTGTGATGTGCCAGGCCCACACCCAGGTGCTGAAGTCCTGGTCAAGTGAAGGGCAGATGCTGGTCAGACCCTTACCTGCTGCTTATGGGCTCCACGGCCCCGGTTCCGAGCCCAGCCCTGAGCTCTCTACTGCTTTGTGCAGGCCACAGGAAGAGGAGGAACTAGTTTTGTTGTCGCCAGTGCCCTTGTTGGAGATTCAAGGCCCAGTCGTTGGGTCAGTATGTGGGGTCCACTAATCCCTGGAGGCCCTGAATACACTTATCAGATTTCAGACACCTCTCAAAAGCTTGACTCTCACAATCAACCTGCCCAGTCACAGTAATCACGTGCTTTAAGTATATACTTCATGCTTTGTAGTGTATTTGCACAGTTATGTAATCCCAATCTTGGGGTTCCCTCCTCCTGGGGCCCCATCATTTTTTGTTCAGTGCATGATTTCTGGAAGAGGGAAGGGCCCCCACCAAGCAGCAGGTGCGAGTGGTGGTCTACCTGTCGACACTTCCTGCTTGCAGACCCTGCTCTCTTGGTGCACAGTCCCAGCCACCCTTGGGCCTGAGGAGAGATGATAGTAGAGAGAGGGTGTTCCCTTGCCTTTCACCAAAAAGCATGGTTCAGGGCCTTCACCTCTCTGAGGCCAGGGGAATCAGAGCCCTCAGAGCTGCACTTCAATTTGGCAGCCACTGGTCACAGGAGACTACTCAGTCCCTGGAATGTGGCTGGTCTGAACGGAGGTGTGCTGCACACTTAAAACATAGAATGAGTTTCAAAGATATAGTACCAAAAAAAAAAATACTTCATTAATGATTTTTTTTTGATTTGCCAAATATAAAAATAGTAATATTTTGGTTATTTTGGGTTAAACTACTGCAATCAATTTTACTTGTTTCTTTTTCTTTCACATGGCTACTAGAGAATTTTAAGTAAAAAATGTGGCTCACGTTTTCTTCAATTTAACATTGCTGCCTTAGAGGAGTGCCTCCATTTTCAATGCTCAGGCTGTCTCCTCAAAAAATTAGAGGCTAGGAAGCTTACAAAATCTCAAACATTAAAATAATTTTCATTATGAGGTTTCCATTTGTGAATAACATATATTTACTATATATATATATTTCATAAATGGATACAATTTACATTCAAGGTTAAATACAAACGACTCCCAGGCAGGGTGAGGTCCCAGAGCAAGGGGAAAGCCCTGTCCAAAAAGAGCTCCAACCAAGACCCTGTCACTCCGGCCTCATGCAGCCCCTTGTCTGATCGCGTCTCCTGTCATTCATGGCCAGAGGGGTGGGACCTTGGGCCCTATCCAATCAGAGATGCTGCATTGAGAACTGCCCAATGAGATGCGCAGCCAGAAAGAAGAAGGCGGCTTCCAGGATGTGGTTCCGCTTTTGTCTTTTGCGCCGAGAAACGGCCAGGGGTTCTCTCTGCGCTGTTCCGTCTGCGGGAGCTCCCAGGTGTCTCTTCCGCAACCTCTGTCGTCCTGTGACCTGCAGGGACTGGGAGATCCATAGGGAGAAGACCAGGACACCCCAGAAGCTGGGAAATGGTGAGTGTGGGGGCTGGGAGGGGTCTAGTCGGAGCTGGCCTGAAGCGGCTGTGGTGGGACCCGGTCCTCCCTGCCACAGCTCTGGGGCCTTAAGACGGAAATTCACCACTGGCACACCATGATCCTCATTCGCCTCTGGCCACAGGGTGGGGTTGGGCGGGCAGCTGCGACCGGGGCGTACTGGATCATCTCTGAGCGCTTACTTTGCCCTGCCTGGAGCCTTGTCTGGGCAGATCTGCGTCTCTGCCCCGCGTCTCTCCCCCATCCTGAGGTGATGATAGGAGGGTCATCAGAGGAGGATCCTGATTTCGGGGAGAGGCGGGGGGGTGGCGCTTGTGCCTGGAAGGAGCTGTGTGGTCCGTGCGGCCCCCATCCCTTTCTCTTGTTAAAAACAAAGTAAGGCGCCATTAAAGCGGTAAAGAGTTTGTTTTAGTTGAGCAAAAGCAATTCACGAATCGTAAGTCCCCCAGCCATAGTTTGTACTTTGAGGGTCTCCTGGGAGAGAGGGCTTGAAGGAAAGGCTCTTACAAGGTGCATGAGGAAACAAACCAAATGGTTACAGTTATGTATTTACCTTATTTGCACTATCCAGGTGGAAATTTCCTGGTTTTGTAATCAGGATAATTGCCTGTTTGTGGTTGGTTAAGCCTAATTTTTTTTTCGAAGTTAATGTTGGGGTACAGCAAATAATTCTTCAAAAAAAAATGTAGCTTAGGCATTCGAGTGCTTTTGAACATTAGAAAGCCTCAGAAATAAGCCTGAACATTAAGATTCTTCTAATTTTGTTTTTTTACCCCCACTCCAAGAGGAGAGATGGACTCTGAAATTTCTTTATCTAATAAACAAAACTTCTTGCCAAAATAAACACAGTTGTCTTCTGTTGCCTTCCTGTTACCTCATTATCTAGTGCAGATAGGTAATATTGTTATTGGCACAGAGTGCGAGAAGTGACCATTGAGAGACCGAATTGAGCGAAATTGTGAGTCTTTATTAGCTGGCCAGCGACTACCCTCTGCACCGCTGAGAGGCAGCAGCACAGAGAGCAGTCCAGAGCCGAAAAGGTGAGAAGACTTTATACTAATTTGGGCGGGGGGGGGGCGCGGGGATGGCTGCGTGACATTAAACACGACATAGTGGAACAAAAATAATTACATCATACATTGCATAGCTGCAGGGTCTGTGATCTGCCTCAGACCACCTGCCTGGCCATGTGACTGGTTACAATCTTTGAGCAAGCAAGGTTACAGAAGCAGATAGCATCAGTTAAGGCAGGGAGCGTTCTTTCTTGGGTTAGGCAAGTACAGTAAATTCTAACTACAGGCAGCTGGGGGGTTTACACAATTAGTTACAAGGTCATTGCTTACAGAGTACAGATTTTTCTATTAAGGGCGAGGTTTACAAAGTACAAGCTTTTTACTCTATAGACAGGAATGAGTCTTGAAACAGCGTTTTCATAATAACTTTTCATATTTTTGAGGCCTACTACTACATTCCCCACTGGTTTTCTGTGTAATCAAATCTTTGATTCTGCATTTACAAGTCATTTTCACAGACGTGGTGATAATGAGTGTGAAGCACCATTAACTTGACACTTTGGATACTCTTTTGCACATATATTAAAAGGCAGTTAATTATACATAGGCCAATTAATAATGCTAATAAGAATAAGATCAGAGGCCCTGCTATTGTGGACAAGAGAGTAGTTAACCAAGGGGACCTAGTAAATAAGTTTTTATACCAATATGGTCTTTCGATAGCTGTTTTTTTTTTTTCTCCTTTATTCTATTACGTACTTGTGATAAGCTGTTGCGAATCACGCCTGAATGGTTAGCATAGAGACAGCAAGTTTCTCTTAGGGCAACACATAAGCCTCCTTATTTTAAAAACAGCACATCCAGCCCTCTTCTATTCTGAAGAACTACTTCAGCTAGGGAATCTACTGATTGTTCTAAATAGCTAATAGACTTTTCTAAGTCACTTAAATTAATATCAACCTGGTGGCTTAGTATCTTAAAATTTTGATTTGCAGTTATCAGAGCAACTGTACCTCCAGCACCCAAACCTGCGATTCCCAGTCCCACTAACAATGGTGCCAACACTGGGATGGCTCGCTTTCTTAATCTGGGTGCGATGCATCCAGTGGCGCTTTCCCACGACTTTCACAGCTGTTGGGGTGGTGAGAATAACTGGCAGAGGTCCAGTCCACTTGGGCTTTGACGTTGCTGGCTGAAGCCTTTTTATCTAAACAAGGTCCCCAGGCTGCACCTGGAATGAAGCTTTGTCAGAGGGAGAGTTAGTAGGTCCAGGGTGTGCAGCCCTTACTAAATCTTGAGTTTGTTGGGCACTGGACTGCAAAGCCTGTAAGGACTTAAGAAGGGAATGATTGTTTAACTCTGTCACTCTGTCTTCCGCCAGCTTAGGTATGAGTGGGGTAGGTCTACCAAACATAATCTCATACGGGGTTATTCCTTTTACATATAGGGTACATCTAACTCTTAACAAGGCAAACAGAAGGAGACTCACCCAGTCTTCGCCAGTCTCTACACTTAGTTTACTTAAAGTGTCTTTTAGAGTCCTATTCATCCTTTCTACCTGCCCTGAACTCTGAGGTCTATAAGCACAATGTAATTTCCAATTAATCTGCAGCACCTGAGCCAGCAATTGAGTTGTCTTAGCAGTGAACGCTGGGCCATTGTTGGACCCAATGCTAGTGGGAGGCCCAGTCTAGGAACAATTTTAGTTACTAACTTTTTCACAACTACTTGTGCTGTCTCCGACTTTGTCGGGAAAGCTGCCCAGCGGAGAAGGTGTCCACAAACACAAGCAAGTACCAGTATCCATACTTGCCTGGTTTTACTTCTGTAAAGTCCACTTCCCAGTGTTCTGCTGGGACTTGCCCCCTTAGTCTAGTTCCCGGAGGGGGGTTAATTCCCTTACCTGAGTTCACTTGAGCACAGGTGAGACATCTTGTCGTTACCTGTTGGGCCATCTGGTGTAGTCCAGGGATGTAGTAGTCCCTCTGGAGGAGTTCAGTCAGTCTTGTGCTGCCAAGGTGGGCACTCTGGTATATTTGCTGAATCAGGTCTTGTCCTAGGTGTTCAGGAACTAGAATTCTGTTGTCCAGAAGGACTTTCCACCCTCCTGTAGCAGTTCTAACCTTTAAGGCTTTTCCCAATTTGTTTTTTCTGTTGTTATAGGTTGGGGAATGTGGTAGAGGCCGTTCAGGCAAAACAGGAAGAATCTGGAGGGGCCCCACTGGTTTTTGAGCGACCTCTTTGGCCGTTGCATCAGCAAAAACATTTCCTTTTGCTATCAGGGAATTAGCTGTCTGGTGCCCCTTACAGTGGATGATAGCCACCTTTTTTGGTAACCATATGGCTTCTAACAGAGGCAGAATTTCAAGTTTATTCTTTATCTCCTTGCCTTCAGAGGTCAGCAGGCCTCGCTCCTGATAAAGCACTCCGTGGACATGAGCCGTTGCAAAGGCATATCTACTATATGTGTAGATCTTAACAGTTCTGTCCTTTCCCCACCCCAGGGATTGGGTTAAGACTATGAGTTCCGCTTTTTGGGCTGAAGTCGCATGACCCAAAGCCTGAGCCCAAACAACCTGGTCTGCGGTGACCACAGCCGCCCCTACATACCTGGCTCCTTCAGACATGTAACTGCTTCCATCCGTGTACAGCTCCTCATCAGGGTTTGGCCATAATTGATCAGTGAGATCCGCTCTTAAATTAGTCAATGACCCCACTGTTTCCAGGCTGTCATGCAGTGGCTCTGATGGCTCATCGTCCGGGAGCAGAGTAGCAGGGTTGAGGGAAGCTGTTTTTAGGAAGCGAATTCTGGGAGGGTCTAATGGCAACACTTGATACTGAGTTATGCCTGAGTTGGAGAGCCATTTCTCAGGCGGGCTTCTCAGCAGGGCCTCTACTGAGTGAGGGTCAATAATGCACAAGACCTGCCCCAAAGTGAGCTTGGAGGCCTCTTAGCCAGGACAGCTGTCGCAGCAATGGCCCAGACACATCCTGGCCAGCCAGAGGCCACCAGGTCCAGTCTTTTAGATAAATATGCAACTGATCTATTCCACGGTCCCAGCTTTTGGGCCAGGACCCCCTTGGCTATTCCTCTGGCTTCAGCCATGTATAACTGGAAAGGCTTAGTTTGGTCAGGTAAGGCCAGTGCAGGGGCATTTATAAGCACCTGTTTGAGACTCAATGGCTTTTGATTCAGTTTCAGTCCATACTAGGGCTTCCTCTTTTCCCCCTGTGCTGGCATACAGGGGCTTCGCTATTTCAGCGAACTTAGGGATCTAGGGTCTGCAATAGCCCATGGCCCCCAAAAACTCACACACCTGCTTCTTGGTTTGGGGCTGTGGGATCTTTAAGATTGCTTCAATTCTTCCAGTAGAGAGAGTTCTCTTTCTTCCCTTTAGCTCATACCTCAGGTAGGTGGTAGTCTTTCTTCCAATGTCCACATCCTTTGCAATAGGTGCACTGATCCAGTCCCAGGTCATTTCTCCCTTTCTTTTGACCTTTCAACCCAGTCTTTCTTTCTTGACTTACTCTTTCCCTCGGTTTCTGGGGTCCGCCAATGGCGGCCACCATAATCTTAGCCATTTTCTTAGATTGCACAGTTCCGGGGTCTTCCCAGTTGTTGTAAATCTTCTAGGCAATCTCTACCAATTCAGACAGCAACTTCCCTTCAAACCCTTCTACCTTCTGCAACTTTTTCTAATATCTGGGGCCAATTGACTAACGAAAGCAATATTAATAGCACACCTATTCTCAGGTGCTTCAGGATCTATAGGGGTGTAGAGGCGATAAACTTCACAGAGGTGTTCTAAAAGCGCCGCCGGGGCTTCATTCAGCCCCTGCACTGTCTCGCTTACCTTAGACAGATTGGTCAGCTTTTTGGCCGCTGCCCGTATACCCCGGAGCAGAGTCTGGCAATACTGATCAAGAGCCCCCTTACCTACATTGTCATTGGGATCCCAGTCAGGG